GGCAAACCTGTGACTGGCCTGGTGTCTGGACTTCTGGAAACTTCTGCCTCGCTCACTATGTTTGAAAGCACCAAGGAAAGGCCCCTCCTTCCGAGAGGAGTCCCCCGTCTTGGGGGCAGCTTCTAAAACCAGCCCCGCCCCAGCACCCCCCACATCCTCCTGTCCTCCTCCCAGGCCACAGCCTGCCCCCTCCTGGCGCCCAGGCCCCAGCGGCCTCACCAGGCACTCTCCCCCCAGGAAGTCGGGGATCACTTCTTGATCCAGGTAGTCCACGAGGCCTCCAGGGCCCTGGTAGTTGCTGCCACTGCAAATGAGGAACTTCTGCCTGGTGTTCTCGTTGATGAAGGGGCTGATCTGAAATGGGGGAGGCAAGGCAAGAAGGAAAGTGGATTTTTATTGAATACAGCATTTTAAAGTGAGCGATGTAGTGGCTTTTAGTTCATTCATGCCCACGTCCTCTCCTGCTGGCAATCCTCCAGGGCCCCAGTGAGTTCCCATCATCACCTCAGCCTGAACTCAGGCGCTGGTCCTGAGCACCTCCCCAGCTTCCTCGGGGCAGCCCGCCCTTTTCCCGCTTTTTTCTCCAGCCATGTACAGGTTGCCGGCCGTGCCCTTCCCTCTGCCCTTCCCTGCGTGACTCTTGCTCCTTCCTCAGCTCTCAGCCACCAGTCGGCTCCTAGGGGGACCTTCCCCAGTTCCCCAATGTAAATGATCCCTCTGCCACAACCCCTGCCTGGCGTATTCTCTCCAAGAGCCCTGAATGTCCTCATGCCCTTGTCACAGGGAACCATGAAGCATTTATTATACTTGTGCTCCCCCACTGTCATGGAGAGAGAGACAGTGGCTGGCTTGTGCACTCCAAATCTGGGAAGGTGCCTGGCACATAGGTGCTTAGTAAAACATGGAATCCATTTAATCTTCAATCTTAAATCTCTATTTTTTTATTTTTTTTNTGCCTCGCCTGGGAAGAGCGCAATGATGGTGCTAACTTGGGCCAGTGAAGCAACGTCCTCCACAACTAGACTGAAGAACAACTTGTCTGTTCCCCTTCCCCCAATTCCCCAGCGCTGTTCCCATCCCCCCAATTCCCAAATAAAAATCTTTAAAAAAAAAAAGAGGCTGGCCCAGGATCTCTCACGCGAGGCTGCTCATGACCCTGGGATCCTTGGCGCTCCGCCTGGGATGTGTGTCTAGATACACTGCCCTCCTGGAGTCTCAATTTTGCTCCACAGTAAGGAATTTAAAGCATTATTTTTAATTTGATGCAGCATCCCATTTATTTTTGCTTTTGTTTCCCTTGCCTGAGTGGACACATCCAAAGAGATAATGCTAAAACCAACATCAAAGCGTTTACAATCTATGTTTTCTTATAGGAGTTCTATGGTTTCATCTTATATTTAAGTCTAATCCATTTTGAGTTTATTTTTGTATATGGTGTAAGAAAGTGGTCTCGTTTTTTTTTGTTTTTTTTTGCAAATATCCGTCTAGTTTTCCCAATACCAATTATTGAAGAGACTGTCATTTGTCCATTTTATATTCTTGCCTCTTTTGTCATAGATTGATTAGCCATATAACAGAGGGTTTATTTCTGGGCTCTCTATTCTGTTCCATGGATCTGTGGTTTGTTTTTGTGCCAGTACCATACTGTTTGGAATATTATAGACTTGAGTATAGTTTGAAGTCAGGGAGCGTGATACCTCCAACTTTGTTCTTCCTTCTCAAGATTGCTTTGGCTATTCAGGGTCTTTTGTGGTCGCATATAAATTTTAAGATTATTTGTTCTATCGATAGTTCTGAGAAGAATGCCATTGAGGTTTTGATGGAGACTGCATTGAATCATGCTTTAGGTAGTATGGACATTTTAACAATATTAATCCTTCCAACCCATTAGCATGGTTATCCTTCCATTTATTTGTATCTTCTTCAATGTCTTATAGTTTTCAGCGTACATGTCTTTCATCTCCTTGGTTAAACTTATTCCTAGGTATTTTATACTCTGGCACAATTATAAATGGGATTGTTTTCTTAATTTCTCCTTCTGATTGTTATTGTGTATAGATATGCAACAGATTACTGTCTATTAATTTTGTATCTGCAACTTTACTGAATTCGTTTCTTCTAATTTTTTGGTGGAGTCTTTAGGGTTTTCTATATATAGTATCATGTCATCTACAAATTGTGACAGCTTAACTTCTTCTTTTCTAATTTGGATACCTTTTAGTTCTTTGTCTTTTCTGATTGCTGTGGCTAGGACTTGTAATACTATAATAAATAAATGAATAAAACTGGTGACAGTGGGCCTCTTTGTCTTGTTCCTGATCTTAGAAGAAAGGCTTTCTGCTTTTCACCATTGAATATGATGTTAGCTATGGGTTTGTGACATATAGACATATGGCCTTTCTTATGTTGGGGTATATTACCTCTATACTCAATTTGTTGAGAGTTTTCACCATTAACATATGTTGAATTTTGACAAATGCTTTTTCTGCATCTGTTGAGGTGATCATATGATTTTTATCCTTGGTTTTATTGATGTGGTGTATCACGTTGATTGATTTGTGGATATTGAACCATCCTTGCTTCCCTGGAATAAATCCCTCTTGGTCATGGCGTATAACCCTTTTAATGTATTGTTGAATTTCATTTGTTAATATTTTGTTGAGAATTTTTGCATCTATGTCCATCAGGGATACTGGATTGTAATTTTCTTTTTCTCGTAGTGTCTTTGTCTAGTTTTGGTATCAAGGTAATGTTGGCCTCGTTCGATAAGTTTGGAAGTGTTCCTTCCTCTTCAATTTTTTGGAATATTTTGAGAAAGACAGGTATTAATTCTTCTTTAAATGTTTGATAGAATTTACCTGTGAAGCTGTCCGGTCCTGGACTTTTGCTTGTTGGGACTTCTTTTTAATTATTATTACTGCTTCAATTTTGCTGCTGGTAATTGGCCTATTGAGATTTTCTATTTCTTCCTGGCTCAGTCTCGGCATGGCAGCACCCTGTTGATCCAGTTGTCCACAGCTGGAGTGGGGTCCAGGCTGGGCAGCCCAGTGCATGCATGTCACAGCATCCTGCGGGTCCTGCTTGAGCTAGCTCTGGGCGGGGTGACCCAATGTGCATGTAGCAGTGCCCTGTTAATCTGGTTGTGCATGCGTGCCACAACACCCTGTTGGTCCTGTTGGAGGATAGCTCCAGGTCACGGTGACCAGGAAGGCACTGCAGCACCCTTGCCTTGCAGGTCAGCTAGAGTACCTGGATAGTGCTCCCACCTGTGTTGTCTAAGTGGAGGAGGACATAAACAATGGCGCTCACCAGCACAGCACCTCTCTTGTTGTGCAGAAGCTGTTCAATCAGCCTTCACTTATCTCTCAGGAGGAATTGCTCTAAATGTAGGTGATTTTCCAGTGTGTTCATTGAGGGGGTGAGTCAGCATCTTCCTACACTGTCATCTTGTACCCGCCTCTAAAAACATTATTTTTAGGTGGAAACTCACAGATAACGCCACAAAGCAGAATGCAAAATCACATTCATTTTTAAAAGATAAAATGCAAGGCCTTAAAGAAACCGCCTGCTCCATCGCCTCACCCTCTGCTTTATGTCTGCTATTGAGTGCTTCCTGTATGCCCAGGTGAAGGGCAGGCTTCCCCCAACCATTTCATCCTCATGACAGTCCTGCAACGTTGGGGCTTCAGTGGTCCCCATTTAACAGAGAGGAAGTCTGAGGCTCAGAGAGGTAAAGGTGACTTGGCCAAGGTCACACAGCAACCAGAAGTGCTGGAAGTCCTAACCACTATATTTTCCTGTCTCTCTGAAAACATCATGTGGGGAGAGTTGTCTGTGAGGCACTTTTCTAGGCTGTTCTAGAACAATCCAAACCTTGGTTTATGGAATTCTAGGAGTGAGGGGAGGTCCAAACAGGAGGGCCTCAGGCTCGTCTCGCCAATCAATCTGGTATGTTGAGTTTCCGTCCAGGGCTTCATTTGAGGGGAAGTTTCTGCAGCTGAGGCAGAATTCGGACGTACTGTCCGATCTCTCACACTAAAGTGCTAAACCACTGGGAATTTTTAACAGTACCAGGGCCCCACCCCTGGAGAAGCTCAGAGGCAAGTAGGGGAGGTGAATGCAAGCCCCCCAGCCCAGCCTGGCCTGGAGGGCAGTTGGGGGCCCTTCTTGCCCAGCCTCCTCTCCCAGCCCCTCCTACCTGAAGTCCTCAGACGCCAGCACCTCGTAGTAGTAGAGGAGTTTGCACCTAGGACCGGGGCTGTGCAGGGCTGTCAGGACGTCCTCCACCACATTGCCGAGGGGGTCGTGCATTTGCCACTGGAGCAGGTAGGTACCAGGCCACCGGGTCACATGGGAGCCCTGAAACAACAGCCACACCTGAGGCTCTGGTCCTCCTGGGGATGGAGCCCCCTTCTAAACCAGCTCCCCAGCAAGTCCTTCCTCCAAGAGCCTCCTGAAGCCATCCTTGCTCCCCATCTGCTGTCACCCCCATATCCCTGGCAGCTGAGAGCCTCCCTCTGAATCTGGGAGGGGGTCAAGGCCTGGGGGGTGTGGCTGCAGGACAGCAGGGGTGTGGTTTGGTTAACCACCTAGGTTTTGTTGGGCTTTTGTTCTGATGACCAGGCTTTGCACACTGAGGAGTTCTGGATAGGGACTTGGGAGGGGGACCTCGCAGGTGGTTAGAATTTGTTGAGAACAGAGAACAAGAAAGGGACGTTTTAGCTGTTACAAGAAAAGCAACTTCTGGGAAAGGCTGGGATGTGCAGTGCGACCCCAGGGACATTGCTGGTGTGTGATGTGACAGCCCTCTGCTCGACTCGCCATGGAATCTCACTAAGATCTGCAGTTCTTGCCAGCACTTGTGTGTGAGTGTGTGTGTGTGTGTGCATGCATGTATATGAGTGCATGTGTGCATGTGAGTGAATGCATGTGTGTGAGTGCATGTATGTGTGGGTGTGTATGTGAGCACGTGTGTGTGAGTGCCTGTATGTGAGAGTGTGTATGCATGTGTGTGAGTGCATGTGTGCATGTGAGTGTGCATGCATGTGTGTGAGTGTGTGTGTGCCCGTGTGTGTGTGTGTGGGGGGTGCATGTCTGTGTGTGTATTTGGGGCTGCTGATGTTCGACCTGCAAGCCCCGGCCTCATGGAGGATGTGAAGGTCAGCACGGGTGGCTCCTGTTTGGCGTCATGTCTGCGTTCTGTTACCAGTCATACCGTTTCTGTGCTGTGTGGGTTCTGGAACTTGCTGTGTATCAGAAATCACCAGGAGACGGTGAGGGTTGCAGATTCCAGGCTCTACACCCTGAGATTCTGAGTTGCCATGCTGGGCCTGGGGCCTGGAAACCTGCATCTTTGACACGTATCCCAGGGGATTCTGAGGCTGGGGTCCTGAGGTCCCGGTCCAGGATTGGTCTTTCTCCCCCACTGTCCCGCAGGGTCCCGTTTGTCCACTGCTGTGCCCCCAGAACTCTAGCACATAGTGGACACTCAGTCCTGTGTGATGAATGAATAAATGAACCAAGGAATTCAAACCTGGATGCTCTCCCCTTCTCGGCAGACGAGGGGGGCCTCCACACGACTGTAGTCTGTCCCCCGGGCCCAGCCTTTATCTGTCAGCTGCCCGCTGGCCCTGGCCCCAGGCTCCCGGGGGCCCAGCTTGGGCACCTGCTTGGTGTAGTACAGGCTGAACACCACGTCCCCTCGCAGGATGTCGAAGTCCCAGGTAATGACTGACTCCCCCTCCAGAATCTCCACTGTGACCTGCGTGGGGACAGACGGTGTCTGAGAATGGACACACACCCCCCATCTGAAATGCCTGGGAGGTCCCACCCTGCCATGAGGGCTGACTCACAGCCACTGACTGACTGACACCAGGGTACAAAAGGCCAGCAGGATCACTCTATAGGGTTCTTCATGTCCAGCACTCCCCAAGGGTCAGGCTGGGTTAGACTATGACTGAAATGGCCCCTTAGTTTAGATTCTTGCCCACATCCATCCTGCCCTTGCCCGTCCTTATGGGTTTCTCCTGAGAGCTTGCCCTCAGCAAATCACTGGCATGAGAACCCTTATTTCAGGCTCTGCTCTGGGGGACCCTAACCTATAATGATACCCCAGCCCAGTGGGCCCTCCCAGGCCGGGACCCCAGCACCTCGTGGGGGGCCCCACGGAGCACGCTGGCTGACTGGTAGGTCTCTCTCCACTGGTGCATCTGGTCTGCGTGCTCCTGCTCCTCTTCTGTCAGATAGAGGGACTTGGGGACCAGCCCTCCTTCGGGGACATTACACTGGGGGACAAAGACAAAGGTGGCAGGTCAGGGCCCAGCCAGGCCTGGCTGACCCACAAAGGGTGCTCTGTGACCCCTGAAATCATACCACAGCAACCCCTTAATGAGCTGGGCACTGAGCTTTTGTAACCCATTGAACCCCCAGAACCACAACAACGCAGTGGGAACTATTATTCCCATTTCACAGAGGAGGAAAACAGAGGCTAAGAGAGGCCAGGCA